TATGGTTACCACATAATCTGTCATTGTTCAAAATTTACCGGCGTCAATTTTTTTAGGTTGTTATAAACAATTTGTTAACTAAGTTTGTTTTTTGTAAACAAAATTACTGATAAAAAATAGTATTCAGTTATAAAAAACATACATCAGGTACCTAGTAAATGTTAAAAAATGTTAAAGAATCGATATGGAATATTTTAAACAATGTTTTAAGATTCCAAAAATCTACCGCCCTATCCGCAAAGCTAAAGGTTATTATAATAACAGAAGAGTTATAGTTTATTATGATTGACACGCATTTGTCAAATTTAAAATTTTAACGAAAAAAAATTAATAGGTAACCCGAAAACCAGGGCCGGATTTACCATTCTTGCCGCCCCTGGGCAGTCATGATCTTGCCGCCCATTTTATCAAAGCTACGAATTCGTCGAAAAAAAATAAAACAACGAATTTAACATCAGTTTACATCAATGTTTTTATTTTTTACACAATATCTTATACAAATATGATTGTTGGAAACTAACCATACAAAAATACAGTGCGAATATAATTATAAAAACTATGCATACAATATCAAATAACTATACAATCACGATAATCAGAAACTAGTAACTTTTCATTTTGTTTTGATAAATACTCGCCTAACTTTTTTATTAGCAAATTGAGTGATTAAGTTTTCGAAGTCTAAAGAACGGAGCAATTCAGATTCAATACTCAAAATTGCTGAGCTGTTGAGGCGATCTTCTGTCATCGTGGAACTCTTTCATTTTAAGAAATCATTTGAAACACTGTTTTTTGTTAAATCACACGACGAGGTCGACGAGACGTTTCAGACGATTGTGTGTAACGAGAACCAGTGTTTAATAATAATAATAATAATAAAAGATTTATTTGTTGTACATACATTTTACAGTTTCACAACAAAAGGGTCTAAAAAGCAGCAGAGCTGATATTTATATTTTAGACCATATTCCGCCATCCGATGATAGAATATTTCATTATGTAAGAGTTTAAGGAATATATGCAATTCCACATTAAAAAGTGGTATTCTATAATTACATTGTATTATATTCCGTAATAGGAGTAGAAAATAGTACATTCTGTAACAAGTTTGGAATACAGCATATTCCGCTCGAGGAAAAATTTGACACACGAGCCGAAGGCAAGTGTGACGGTTTTACGAGAGTGGAATATGCTATTCCAAACGTGTTTCAGACATTATTTTCTCTACGACTACGTAAGAATAGTAACGCTTATATAATTTTAAACTGAGAAAAGAAACCAAGCAGTTTTTGACATTTAAGTTTTTGTATTGTCAAACCATTTTGTGCCGTCACAATTTTATAATGTAAATTATAATAAATTTAAACAAATGGTATGCCTAAATCTTTATTATAATTAAAAATAGTTATTTACACTAACTAATAAAAAAAATAACATTGTAACAAATACAAAACTAATTTTACAAGTAGGGGAGAAGGGGGCAGGTCCGGACATGGGGTACCTCCGGACAATTCAAATTTACTGCCAAGAAAAGATATTAGAATAACCAATTGCCGGCATTCACATCTGCGCACCGTTTAAAATAGTGAACCTATTGGTCATGGGCCATGAAAGTGCAAAATAAAAAAGTTATATGCAAAAGTGTTAAAAACTGACTTGTGATATAAGATTGACGTGTATACTAGTAAGGTCCTACACTTCAAGTTTTTAAACTCAGGTAAGAATTAATAGTTTCACTAGAAAGAGGGCTCATTTTTATGTACCTAACCTCACAAAACTATAACGGTTTTACGTGTTTGTAGATGTTGTGGCAATAAAACGCAATTATGTGCAGCTGGGGCAGGTCCGGACAATTGATGTGGGGCAGGTTCGGACTCCCCTATATTATGTCCGAAGCTGCCCCATATTATGTCCGAAGCTGCCCCATATTATGTGTCTGCATTTTTATGACAAGGATGAAATATAAAATGATTGTCGGTTGTTGCTTTATTTGTATATGACGTGTAGTAATACCAGCTGGCACCGTTTTTAAGATATATGGTATTTAAATTTTTTAGTTTATCCTAATTATTTTCTACTACACGAAATTCGGTAAAAGACGGTTTTCGGTAGGGCTGAATTTAATTATGTTATCTGATTTAACAAATTATTATACCAGTATTTGTTTTACTACTTGATTATTTTATTCATAACTTTTTTATTCTTACACGGAGAAAAAAGTTTATTGCTCCCAAATAAAAAAAATATTTAAATATGGGACAAGGGTACAGTTTATTTATCCTAAATATATTTTTATTCCCGACATATAAAGTTTTACCAAAGTATATTTATCGTTATTATTTCGACTATTTAGAGGTAATAAACAATATATTCACTACAAATAAAAGTATTAGGTAAACAGTTTATTTGTCCCATTTTTTTCTCAGTGTAGGGATTAACTTGTGAAGTTTTCAACAAAAAAACGAATTTTATATTATGTTGGAAAAGTAGTTGAAGTAGGATTGGAAAAAGGAGAATTTCAAGTAACATTCTTAAGGAAGTGTACGGAAGGATTTATAGATATTTCCATTGTTGAAAGAAAGGATGTTGTGTCAAAGTTACCCAAACCCTCGACAACACCAGGAACATCAAGAATGGCATCCTATCTTCAATTTAATATTAGTTTTTTTGGTTGCGATGTTTATTAGTTATAAAAGCTAAATTTGCCTGCCCAATAATGTTTTTAAAAAGAGCAGTTCTTTAAAAATTAAACTTGTCCGAAAGTGCCCCGGCCATGTCCGAAAGTGCCCCATCATGGGGCAGTTCCGGAAAATTTCATAATTTTGCAAATAAATTTTTTTCTGAAAAATCATTTACTATTTTTATTTAGATTTTACAGGAAAACAATAAGTAAACATATCTTTACTTACTATAATTTTTGAAAATCTTTATATCAAAAATCAATGGATATATAGCAGTTTAAAAAAAGCTGTCCGAACCTGCCCCCTTCTCCCCTAATCTATGTCAACATCTATTCTTTTTCTACATTTTAATAGTAGATTATGTCATAAGGAGTAGAAGTGGCTCTTTTTGTGGTGAGTACAGAGATTGACGGCCGAAGCGTAGCTGAGGCAGGCAACTGTACGAAGCACAAAAAGAGCTTCTACTCCAAATAACATATACAATTTTTTTTCAAGGGCGTAATATAAATAGGATAAGCAATAGAATTATTTTATTTACTTATAACTCATGTGGTATAAAATTTTGGCTAAAAGCATTACAAATTATTGATAAAAAGTAAAAAAACTTATAACCCTTACTTACAATGCCGATAAATATCCTAAACCATAGAAAAAACTAAAAATAAACACTGCTCAGTCAAAATGCTGCGCTTGAATTAATTTTGACGTACTGACATTTGTTTGGAGTTCCGACATTGGCGACTCGTCTATCATCATTATATTATACTAATAAACTAGTTGTTCTTTATTTCGTTCAATTAAAATTTAATAAATAATCACTAAATATTCCGTGCGATTATAATTAATATAATTAATACATCGTGATTGCTTTGTATGAAATGCTAAATTAATTTTATTATTTGACGTCTATTGAGTCACCTATGGATTTACTTCCATCCCTAGGCTTTTTTGAGTTTTTTGTCTGCCGCTAATGAAAAAGACGTACTTCAACTATCTCTATACATGCATATAACGTTGTATATCATGGCCGCTTGAAAAAAAGGTCTTTTTTTAAACTTTTTGAATCTGTCAAAACTTCAAAGCCGGTATAGTAGGTAACTGGTTTATCATTTTAATATCAAATTTATTATAATTTTGATTTGTATATTTGAAAAACAAGTAATATAACTAATTTTTTGTGCCTAAACCTTAATTATACAACTGCTATTATTTTTTAATTAATAAATAATACAGTAATATTTAAATATTTTTAAATTTTTTACGTTTAGTAAATAGCCAGGAGATGTCGTTACTTGTGACCATTCTTAAACAAGAGTAGGAATATTCTCGCACAGTATTGCAGAAAAACATCCTTTTTTTGATCAAAAATTACACTAGAATGTTACTATTCTTAAGTAGTCGTAGAGAAAGACTGTTCCAGACTGTTCTGTTTACATAGTACCACATATTACATACACGGTAATGTTATATTTCGCAGCACTACACTAGATAAAATTATTATACGACACAATATGGCAGCCACGGGGGAGGCGCCGTGTCGGGCGGAGCCAAAATTCAAATTTCCACTGCGCAATGTATAGTGTGAGATAAATTGAGTTAAGTTGATGAATTTTTTTCTAGAAAAATCACCCTGTAAAATCATACATTTAGTTATAGTTATGAGGAGTTTGGATTTAACAAATGGGTGATTGTTTTAGCTTTCACTAATATTCTCAGACTATAATGATATCTTCGTAACCAAATTTTAATGTTTCGGAAAATATGAATCTTTCCACCAAAATTTGCCGCCACCACACTCCTCCAAAAATTTGCCGCCCTGGGCAGTTGCCCAAAGTGCCCATGATTAAATCCGGCCCTGCCGAAAACTATTCACTTTAGGTAAAGGACATGGTCATTTTACTCATAATTTCATACAGAATTTAAAAATGTAAAAATAGATGGGGTGTTTTATTTGAAATAACAAAGTTAATGTCACAAATATTTTAGAAAAATAGACTTAAATGGATTAGAAACGCTTTTAAAATTTCAAATCAATATCTTTTTTCGTTCCCTAGAAACTTCTAATGGACCCCGAATGTGAAACACCCTGTATACCATATAAGTTTTTAACGTTAGCCACTAGAATTAGTGGTTATCGTTATATTTAATCGGCCTGGGTGGCCGATAACCACTGATTCTAGTGGATAACGCCTGGCCGTGGTCTGAATATACGCTGTATCAGCATGTTTTTATACGATTAAAATTTAAACCATAATTAATTAATTGTTGTAAAATTTAAATTCAGTTGGGTATCATTTTACCACCTTTACAGGTACAAACCTCTCATTCCATTTGGTTTAGGGGACATCTCATCAATACATTCATAAGTATCTTCTTTTGAAACATTAGGAGACCTTTGGGTTAGATTCATGTTTTCTGTCTTTTCATTTCGTCTAAAATTCGGTGATTGATTAACATACGTTTTATGTTGTCTTTCAGAATTGCTTGAAAGTGGTTTAGGATTGACTTTTGGATTACCTAAAATTTATAAATATAAATTGGTTTGTGTTGTTTATGTGTTGTATATAATATATATATTATATACATATATACGGTCATTGTGCAGCCTATTCTATATACAAGCTATACTCTGTGTAGCCCGAAATGACATTGTGTGGCCCACTCCCGGGCTGGACAACGTTTAACGTTATTTCAACGCTAATCGATAAATCACAGTATTGGGAACCCCAGGTTAAAATTTAAGGAGGCCTTTTCATCGACTCGTTAAGCCATAGTTATATACAAAATAGTTCATTGAATTTAGCTGTAGGTGGCGCGCTGTAGTAAGTGTATCTATAGATATATTACGGTTCTTGTGTATCCCGAAATCCGGCAAGACTGCACACAAAAAATTATGCAAAAGCTTTTAGTAATAAGCGGTTTAAATTTAATTACTGAGACTATAACTTTTTTAGTTGAATGTTTTAAAAATAGCTTAAATATTGCGATTCGGCTAAAATTGGGCATATTTTTAATTATAAATATTTCAGAAGGCACAGAATAATCCAAAATTTTTAGAAAATTTTTTTTTTATTGTGTTGTGGATTCAACACAAAGACTTTATATGTTTTTAGGGATTTTTAAAAATAACTAAATATTACGATTCGTTTAAGATCGGGTATTTTTAATTTGAAATTATGTAATAAGGTCACTAAGAGGGTCGGTAACCTTTTCAGTACTCAGGCTTTTGTACTTTGGAGTAGTACAGGCCCATCTTGTCTATGGAATTATATTTTGGGGTACCTAGCTCAAGTTATTTCAATAAAGTTTTTATAACGCAAAATAAGATCCTTAGGTGCATGGACAAGAAAAGTCCAACATATTCTTGTAAACCTCTGTTTAGGAAATACAAAATTTTAACTCTTCCCTGTTTGTACATATTAAGTTTAGCTTTATTCATTTTTTAAAATAAAAAAGATATTTTAACACATGGTAACATACATAGTTACTTAACAAGAAGCCAAAATCAGTTAGTTTTGCCATTTTCTAGGCTCTCTGTATGCCAAACGTCTTTTATTTATATGGGAATTAAATGTTATAATAAATTTGTCTATTGTGTCTTGTTGTAAATGTTCAAAAATGTTAAAATGCAGATTGCAGACTTTGTTTTTAAAAAAAGTATATTATTCTGTGGAAGAGTTTCTTATTGATAATTTTTAATTAACTTATTTAATGTTTAATAAATTTAGTAGTAGGTACATAGTTTTAAACATAATTTCTTTATTTTGTAATTTTATTTTTGACTAGTCCAATTTGTTTTATGGAATAAATATTATTATTATTATTAAAAATTCTACATTTTCAGGAAACATTCTTTTATTGTGTTTTAATAAATAATTAGGCCTATTGGAAGCACATTAAAATAAAAATAAATAAAATTAATGAAATAAAATAAAATTTCATTATAAGTTTATTAGTTAGACATTTTAAAAAATAGCTAAAATATTGCGATTGGTCTAAAATTGGGTATTTTAATCTAAAATATCAGAATTAAACATTTAACATTTTCGGTAAACATTTTTTTATTGAGTTTCAATAATATATTATTATAAAATTAATAAAATAAAATAAAATTTCATCACTAGAGTGATTAATATTAATTTTATTTTATTATTTTAATATGGTATTTTTAAAAATAGCTAAATAATTGCGATTTATCTTAAATCGGGTATATTTTCAATCAGAAGTATCTCCAATTTTTCATAAAACATATTATTTTGTTGTGTTGAGTCACGGCGTTCTCTATAGAGAACGCCGTGGTTAAGTAGGTATACATTTAAACTATAGTTTAAATGTTATCATTAACATTTCTTAAAATAGCTAAAACATTTCGATTTGTCTTAAATAGGGCATTTTTAATCTGAAATATCTCAACAATCCAACATTTTCAGAAAACATTTTTTGATTGACTTGTAATAAGTGATTTAAATTTCATAATTAACACTTATATAAGTTTTTTATATTTTCGTATATACAAAATAATAATTAAATAATTAAATAATAAACTATATACAAAATTTATTGTAATAAAACAAAATTAGTAAAAATTATTCCATTAAACCAAATTTTTTTATTTTAAGTTGAGTTAAAAATTCCGAATAAAAAAAAATTTGAAAACCCACCCCAGTAGCACAAAATATTGGCCCTATATGGGGCGCCTCTATGCCCAATATTTTATCTGGGGCCAATATTGGATTTATTTTGCCGATGTTAGCCCTATAGGGCATATAGGCATAAAATGATTTAACATATCATTGCCAATGTTTATCCAAGGTTGGAATAAGAAGAATAAGAAGAATAATTAATCTATTTTAATATTATTTTTTTCTGTTTAAAATCGAAATAATTGGTTATTTGAAAAAAAAAAATTCAAAACATAAATAAATACGTGTATTAAAGAAATATAAAAATGCAGTTTTTATATTTCTTTAATACACGTATTTATTTATGTTTTGAATATTTTTTTTCCAATATATATACGAGTATATTTTGTTATGTTTAACTTTTAACAACTTTTTTTGCTAGATACTGAAACCTAAATTACATTTTAAGAGTTTTTGGAAAAAGTACTTTGTTCTTTGTACTTTTACTCAAGTACATTTTTTTCAAAGTACTTGTACTTTTACTCGAGTACTTTTTTCTTGTACTCGGAACAGCTCTGCGTGGTATATACCATAAGTGTTGCCAAGTTTTGGGAATGGATTTATCTTACCAAGGCTTAAAAATTATCGTATTTTTAAATATATTTTTATAATTAATTTATGAATTATACTTAGCACGTGCTAGTTATATATATACATTATAATGTGTGTATAGGGTGTTTCAAAAAAATCGACTTTTTGTTTTTCTTCAAATGGTCGGCAAATTCTTTCAGAGGATGTTAACATAAAGACCTCGTCAAAATTTGAGCTTTTAATTTGAAGATTTAGAGGTCGCGGATCGCAATTTTCTATTTCCCATTTAAATAACATGGGAATTTTTTTTTTTAACTTTGTAATTTTATACGTCTAAATCAAATCAACTTATGTCAAGGATCATCTTAGATTTTCATAGTAAATTTAACGCTCTACAAAAAAGGTCTCCTATCATTTTTCTATACATTGATTCCTTCCAGAGTTATTCGAGGCCAAAGTTTGATTTCCATCGAATTTTCGCGTTTTTTTAACATTTATGGTACAATTATCATTATACGGGTGTCCCGAAATCAGGGGGCCAAACTTAAACAGTGCATTATTCGTATAAAAATAACACTTTTTTTGTTTAATAAACATGTATCAAAAAATGCTCCCTGAAGGAGCTACGGCCCCCTGAATAGGAGCCTAAGAGGATAATTTTTTTTAAACTATTCCTAGAGGGTTGAACATGAACAAATGAATTTTTGGTACTTTGGTAATTTTGACATGCTGAATCTAGATCTATGATCAAAACTGTTAAAATTTAATCATAGGCGTAACATTTGGAGGGGGCAAAGTTACAAAAATAGCCCCAACTTTTTTCTGGGTTAATAATTTAATTTTTTTATGAAATTATGAGAATTTACAGTTTTTTACGAAAAATAGGTACTCTTGATTTGAATTGCACCATTTTCGAGAAAAATGCATTTATAAATAAATTACTCTGCATATTATACACATCTCATATTTTCATTAAAACTTTGTAGTAGGCTTTGAAAAAAAGTGACGTTTTTTTGTTTTTTTTTACAAGACTTCCTATGTTTCAGATATAAATATGTGATTTTTTTACTACATGATGCTAAAAGTTGAAAAAACGAGAAAATTCGATGGAAATCAAACTTTGGCCTCGAATAACTCTGGAAAAAATCAATTTATAGAAAAATTATAAGAGACATTTTTTATAGAGCGTTAAATTTACTATAAAAATCTAAGATGTTCCTTGCCATAAGTTGATTCGATATAGAAGTATAAAATTCCAAAGTTAAAAAAAAAATTCCTATGTTATTTAAATGGGAAATAGAAAATTGCGATCCGCGACCTCTAAATCTTCAAATTAAAAGCTCAAATTTTAACGAGGTCTTTGTTTTGACATCCTCTGAAAGAATTTGCTGACCATTTGAAGAAAAAGAAAAAGTCGATTTTTTTGAAACACCCTAATATACATGTATAAAAATTATAATCAGATGCAAGTTACTTTTTTAAATTTTATTAAAAATATGTTTTAAATAAATATTTTATTTAAGAAAATAAATATTTATTTTAATTAATTTTAGCATTTTTAGTCCCTTAAGTAAAATCATTAATGAAATCCCATTGATTTCATAATGAATTCATCGTGTGACTCATTAAGGATCTCACGTTGCTCATCAAAACCCAGCCAACAAAGTCAAGGTAGTGCTACTAGTAGCAGAGGGTAGCGCTACCCTCTGCTACTAGTAGCACTACCTTGACTTTGTTGGCTGGGAAGTGCCACAGTGACATCACTGAATGAATCAGCAATGATTTCACGTTGATGTCTTAAATTATGTCATAATTGTTATCTGGGTTAATTAAATAGGTTACACTAAAACTTTATAGATCCCGCTTTATTATCTCTTCCCCCCCAAAAAAATCTCCCGCCGAGCTGGTAACCCTAGTGCCAGGGCACTGTCTGGGTTTTTCATAAATCCATAGGGGCTTATTTAAAGAGAATTAAACCAAATTTGTACCACGGTGGTACTAGGACCCGACAATTTTTTTTGTTAAGATATGCAAAAATACATTTGTTTAAACAAATGTATTTTTGCATATCTTAACAAAAAAAATTGTCGGGTCCTAGTACCACCGTGGTACAAATTTGGTTTAATTCTCTTTAAATAAGCCCCTATGGATTTATGAAAAACCCAGACAGTGCTAATTAAACTAATTAGTTTTAAGTGAATATCTTGGCCGTGTTTTACACAATAAAATAGTTATTTATGTCATTAGGTTAAGAAGTAAGGCTTTTTGTGCTAAGCTCAAGGTTTGAAGGCCGACGCGTAGCGG